TCTTTAAAATACACACACACACACACACACACACACACACACACACACACACACACACACACACCGATAACAAAAGATGAATACAACCCATGTTTGACTTCTGCAATTACAAGAGGTGCTCAAAGTAGTTACCATCAGCCTAATTTTAACAGTTTTTTCCTTTCTTAAAATGTGTATACATTTTCTGGCACCCTCTGTGTATACACACATATATTCTTTCTGATAACCTAGAATATTCTTCCCTGAATGTCTCTTAAGAATAAGATGGACAGAGGACATATCTGACCTGACTGCTTACATGATATAATTAAAATACCTTTCCAACTCAACCTGGTGAGAGTAATTGGATTAAATTTACTTTTTGAATCAAGGCCATGTATCAATAGACAACTGTTCAAATCAGGTATGTGCTTAAAAGGAATATTATGGGGCCGGCCGAGTGGCTCTTGCGTGAGCTCTGAGCAACAGCGGTTCGATGCCCAGCCCGAGCTGAGTTGCTGCTAAGCTGCCAACAGTTGACGGGATGGCTCAGCTAAAAAAAAAAAAAGGAATATCACACTATTAGGAGCCATTGACAAAGAGGAAATGCAGAAGAAGACAGGTCACCCTATTTGTGGGGTAAGGGGAAAAGGAACAATGAGAGAAGTGTGGCAAATTCACCAACATCTCGGCTGGGGGTGCTATTTTGGAAGTCGTCTTAGATACTTTGCTGAACAAGGTGTGTCATGAATAAATCCATGCTGTCAGATCATCGTATCCATCCTTAATACAGATGTGGATAATCTGGAAAGACCTTTAGGACTCAGTTGGAACAGAAGTTCTAAGATTCACAGTCGGATTCACAGAGAAGAGAAGATGAGGAAGACGCAATTGCATTGTATCCTAACATTCAGGAAAGGAAACCTATTTCCTTCCAGCCCATGGTATTCTGGTTACATGTGGACTTTTAACAACATTGCTTAGTCCTGATCTTACCAAATATAATACATCTGCTAATAGATATCTCCGGCCCGACTAACGTTCCCCACCGCCCCCGTCCCCAAAGAAAACCACCTGGAGTTTTATGATCAGTCTTATTTATGATGGATATTTTTTCCTGTGCAAGATTTTATAACACAGATATCCCATGTTCATTTCATGAAATGTCATGACTAAAAAAAGCAAGAATTGTGTTTGAACCCACCAAGCTATAGCTGGAATCCTCCCTGTCTTTTATCAGACTTTGAGTTTCTGCTTTCCACACATGTACAAAAATGAATCTTACACCTGTTATAAAATGCTACAGAAAATTTAAGCCAACGTGCCTTGTGGCGTACTTTAGGTTTCATTCTACTATTATTTTCATCTTTAATTTCCTTGGATGCATTGTGAGGCAACGTTGGTAATTACCTAGACAGACGATAGGTGTTAAATATTGTTCAAACAAACCCAGTAAATGGTATCTACAATAAAGAGCAGGGAAACAAAGAGAATAGAGTGTTTCATTCCAACCCGACACCCTCAGGAGAACAGAGTGCACAAGGCAAACCCATAAGTATTTATATACTCCCTGAGCTGTACAGAGAAAGATCGCAGGAAGCAGTTAAAGACACAGCAACTAAACCCAGCACTTAACTGGATTTCTTTGGAATCTTGCTGTTTTGTGCAATTAAAAGCCAGATGGAAAATATATCATTATTAGTCAACCTTGATGTTAATAGAGTTCAGTTTTTAAGGCTTTTCTACCATGCAGACCTCAACAAAAACCTTACAAAGAAACCCTTCCTGTAGGAATGGCATAGCTCACCCGAGTGATCCCAGGGAGCAGCCACTGTTCACAGCCATGTAAGCACTTCGAGTCTCCTTTGTATCGCGCCTCCCCGGGGACTGTTTGGGGTTGGGAGGAGCCTAAGGAGAGGCTCTCTTACTATTGTTAAAATTGTCACAAAGAATGCTGTAACATGAATACAGCAGACTACCCGTCCACACATAGGATGTCCTCAGATATAACCCAGTGCTGCTTCCGACTCTGAAGAGAGGACAAGCCGGACAGATGCCACAGCAGGGAAACTCCTGCCCTAAGTTCACAGGCCAATGGGCTTCCCCCAGGGTCATTTTATCCACTCTGTGTCTGCTGTCCTGTGGCCTAGCTGCTGCGCCACCTTGTAAATGAAGCTTACCCAATATCCTCCAGTCGAAGTCATTTTTTCCCTTCTCTAGTTTTGGTTACACTGTTTGCCCATCTGTACTGGCCCATCACACTCTGCCTTGTGTCCTGACCAGTTGTATGCATGTCTGTCTCTCCCGCTAGTTTGCTTATTCCTCGAGGGAAGGGTCTAAGACTCATATTTGTTTGTATTTCCCAGATTAGGCACTCAATAATTACAACAAAATGACATTTATGAGCACGTTACTTATATCATCTCATTTCATGCTTACAATTCTTTAGCATGATGGTAACAAACATGGGGCTTTGGAGCCAGACCACCTGTGTTCAAAGCCTCCCTCCTCTCCCATCAGCCAAATGGCCTTGAAACACATGGGTTTCAATGTGGGTCTTCTGACTTAAAGACAGAAGAACTCTGTTCTACCTCCACAGATATCATTTAATTGAATTAGACCTATTCACTGGTCATCAAACTCATTATTACTCCCTATCACTAAACAATCCTAAGGCTGCCCCCAGTAACTCGTGACTTAACATATTTAGGGTTTTAGACTTCTATAATGGATAGTGATTTAGCTAATCATATCAGTGTTCATTCTTTTCATTTCTTCAGTATTTTGACATTTTCACAGTCCTTTCATGTAAGTCATCTGCATACCATCCTTGTAATGCGCAGGGCAGCTATCATTTTTTTTCCACTTTATTGGTAAATGCAGGGAAGCTAGAGAAGCGAAATGTCCCGACTATCATCTCATGGCCAAAAAGAGGCAGAGGTGCAACTTGAACTCACACCTTTGAAATCCATGCACAGTTTTCTTGCCTCTACCTCGCCTTGTCCCTCAGCATCACTCCCAAGTGCAAACATATATGAGGTTGGACAATTAAGTTCGCGAACTCATCCTAGAAAAGTGCTACAAACCTCATTGCTGAATATCACTATGGTCACCTTCGAAGTACTCCCCTTGGGAAGCTATGCACCAGTGCTAGTGCCTAGTCCACCCTTCAAAGCAATTTTGGAACTCTTTCTGGAATGGCCATCAGAGCTGTCATCATATCACCCTTGATGTCCTGAATATCATCTAAATGTCTTCCTTTCAGTATTTCCTTTATCTTCAAGTAAAGATAGAAGTCATTGGGGGCCAGATCAGGTGAGTAGGGAGGGTGTTCCAATACAGTTATTTGTTTACTGGCTAAAACTCCCTCACAGACAGTGCCATGTGAGCTGTTGCATTGTCGTGATGCAAGAGCCATGAATTGTTGGTGAAAAGTTCAGGTCGTCTAACTTTTTCATGCAGCCTTTTCAACACTTCCAAGTAGCAAACTTGGTTAACTGTTCAAATGGTGCAAATTCATGATGGATAATCCCTCTGATATCAAAAAAGTTTAGCAATATTGTTGCAACAAGTTCGTGAACTTATTGTCAGACCTCGTACTCACTTCCAGGCGCCAAGAACCAGGTGCTGTGCTGGAGCCTTTGGTGGTTCAGGTTGTCCGGTAACCATAGCAATTGTCGCTCTCCTCCTGGCACAGGAGATCACCCAGCACACGCCGGCTTTTCAGATTTGAGTTACAAGAGACGAGGCGTTTTCCACAGAGGGCCATTAACTTTGGAATTCCCTTCCCCTGGTCTGACATAGCCCTGGAGTATTGGTCCTCTGGGTCTTGGCAAACCACATCAAGTTGGGTTAGCCAGCTGTGATTGCTAAGAAATCCTAACGGGCAGGAGGAAAGCACTAAATTGACTTTTAGTTGTGAGCAATTGTAATTTTGTCGTTTTTGCTGTTTGTATCCCTTAAGATCACTAACCAGCCGTACATAATTCTCATTCTTTAAAAAATAAAACTTTAGTCAGCAGTTTGCATGGTTTTGTTTCTGTGTTCTTACATCAGGTCGCAAATGATGTGATGGAGAAACCTATAGGGAAGTCCCTGTTTCTTTTGCGTAAACTATTTTGCAGTAATTGACGAGCCGCAGAGCAGAGATGATCTCTTGTGCACTCAGTGAGTTCTCTGGTCATCAGAGACCAATAAGCCGTGTCCCTAGAACTATTACCACTTTGATGAAGAAGCTGCTATGTGAACAAAGACCAGCCTTCATTAATTTCCCTTTTCGGATTTAAAAAACCTTGTCAGTATTTTCCCTGTGGGAGTGTGTAATTTGTCAATAGTGCATGATTTTAGTCAAAAAAAGGAAGGATGTAGGGCAGTAGATCCTTATTGATATCTCGTATTTGTCTTCATGCCAGACCTTAATGTTTCCAGTCAATGAAATAAAATTCTCCACAATTTTAATTATTTTGCAGTATACATGTCTTCACTTTCAACTCATAGAAATATAAAATTTTAGAAATGTAAAACGCTTTTGAGATTAATTTTAATTCTGTATACACCGCCCCCCCAACACACACACACAATCACACTTTAACTCATGGAGAAGCCGATTTGTACGGTGGTTGGCCTCAGCCCCCATAGTAGTCAGTACAGAATCAGGATATAAATTCTCAGTCTAGTGATCTTTCTTTTGTACCTTGCAGTGTGTGTATCTGTTTTAGCTCCCTAACTTCTTTGTAAGCTTCTGAAAGCAGGGTGGTCCTTATACACCCCAATTAGAACTGTTTGATAAGTGCTTGTTAGCTAATGTCAGACTTCATTTCAGTGTTACAAGAGCCGCAAATGTTACACATTCCTTTCCTGATCGGCCCTTTTTTAGTCAACTTTTGTAGATAGAAAAAGTTAGGAACTGGCCAAGTGATATATGATAGAAGGTATTTAATTAAGCTTGATCATCATTTCTTCTAAACTTCTATATGTTTTTTATTGAGGTATAATTGGCATGTAAGATTATATTAGTTTTAGGTGTATAACACAATTATTTGATATTAGTTTACATGGCGAAATGATCACAAGTCTAGTTAACATCCATCCCCATACATAGTTACGATTTTTTTTTTATTGTGATAGGACTTCTAAACAGCTATATTGAAGCTGCAAAAATGTTTTAAAGGCATAGTCTCAGGAATTTAAAGTTATTTACTAATAACTAAAGTTATTTACATTTTCTCACATAGGAGTCTGGTCACTACCAGACTCCTATTAACACATCATTGTCCTGTCCTTAAAGAACGTGTATATTATTTTCAGCTAAGGGCAAGACCTTAGTGTTTATCTTCCAAATGAAAAAGGAAACATTGTAAGTCAGCCCCTCAGCTGCGGGAATTGTGGATTTCTGTGCCTTGGAAGAAGCTGGTCCAAGAAATCCTTTGCCCTGTTACTAGTTTGTATGCACAGTAATTTTCTAAACACTCACCATAAACTTTTTATAGTTTGTTGCAGTGTTGGAAGGGGTGTTGTCGAAGCTGTCAAGATATGATGAAGGCACGTTCTTCTCGTCCATTCTGTCATTCACTGTAAGCATTTGAATGAGCTCTCTTCTGCTGTCATTTGTTGTCCTAGTACTTATCTAACAATTAAGAAAATAATTCTCATAATTATCTCTTTTCTGCTTAAGGTGAAAGCAGCTGCAAAATATGTTGATGTGCCGGTAAGTATTTTTTATTTGCTTTTTAAAACTACATATAATTTTTTTTAAATAATAATTGTGGTTCACCATGGGTTTATTTCAAATCTTTAAACCACTGCCATTCCCTCAGGCAGCAGTTTATTTTTCTTAAGGGCTGACCCTCATAACAAGGCTTGGCAAGGTTATTTCAGTGTACTCTTTTCTGTTTAACTTTGGAAGTCTTATTACGGAGGTCAGTTCATCGTGAGAACATGTCGGCTCAGGTGCAAAAGGTATAGCACGGTAGGTTAGGGTAGGATGCTTCACACTATTTATAGAAAAATGCTCACTCTCCCATCCCTTTATATGAAAGATGTAACAGGTTTCTTATAGGAGTTAAAGTAACAATAAAGATGAACCGGTTCAATCAAAGAACTAATTTTCTAAATAACAAAGGTGTTAGACATCAATATTCACTTATTTTAACATTTGGTTCTTCACAGAATTCTTGGGAAATAATTTGTAACCTGTAAATTTGCTCAAAAATTAAGATACCGTGGAAGGAAATTATGAAACTTACTTAGCTATGACGAATAAATGCACATTATATATATATATATATATACATATATATGTATATATTCAACAAGTTAGTGCAGCATTTGTAAGTTGATAATCATAACAAAAATTAGTTTTTTCCTTAAATCCTATTAAGACATACAGGGCCTGAGGTGTTCTGTGTAATCATGTATCTTGGCATATGTATGAATTTTCAAAGAATTAGAGCACAGTGGAAAAAAACTTAAAATTAGAAGGCATATCAGTCATGTCATCTTTGATGGAGCAGCGTGACATCATCGTTGGCATAAATATTAGTGGTTTGAGTCCTGGCAAGCTTTGTACATCAGTTTTAGGTGGCTATTATTTTTTACATGCATAACCGCATTTTGTACTATGAACTAAATAGTCCCCAGGTTTATTGCTGCTATAGTTGTTAGACGTGGGCAGTTTAAATGAAAAGGCCCTGACTTTCCAGCCTTTGCATGGGGTTTCTTTGGAACAGGGCTTTTTGATTTTACAGATGATGCCCCAAAGAAGTCTTGGCATACTCCTGGTCTTGTACCGAGAGTCAGAAAACCATACTGGGCAAATCCGCAGAAATAATCCCATGTGTAGGGTTCTGCAAAGCGGCAGCTCAAAAGAGAGAGAAAGGGAGAGTGCAGGGGAAGAGCTTACAGTTGCCGTCGTAAAGAGAAAGAGACGAGTAATCATGGGAACACGGGAACTTAATCAGAATGCCTAACACATGTTTTATAGTATAGTTTTCATTTTATTTTGAATTACAAGTGGAACAGCACACCGTAATATTCCTGTTCTTTGGGCTTTTGAAGTTCTTAATTTGACCCACTACTAGATCTGTTTGACCCCATTGAATTTCAGGCTTAAAAGATACAGAAAATGGTTCATTCACTCTCATTCTCAATGTAGAAGCCTCCTGCCCTGATATACCTCACAAAGATTCATTCAGGCTTTTAAATTTTTTTTTTAATTGGGGAATTGGGATGGGAACAGCACTGGGGAATTGGGGGAAGGGGAACAGACAAGTTGCTGTCATTTTGTTCTTCAGTCTAGTTGTGGAGGACGNTGTAGCCTGTTTGTGGTGATGGCAGCCCTGGGGCTCTAGAACATTTTCATAGGCAGAGAAAGCTGACGCAGTGGTATCCAAGGCTCTCTGCTCCCAGGAGTCTCCCATGGTTTCCTATTTGATACTCCAGATATCTTTGACAAAACTACAGCCTTTCATTGTATGCATAGAGGTGAGGCATAAATGAGTGTTCCTTTGTGTGATTGGATGATTTGAAATCCCACTAAGGTGAAATAGAACACCGCGGTGACATTTAAGATCAGGGTCTGACAGGGAACCAGAGCACCCGAGCCTGGGCCCGAGAACACTGTGAGCGCTGGGCACTGAGGACAATGAGCAGAGACGATGGACGTGCTCCAAGGGGCACTTTTAGATGAACAGATACATCCTTTGCTCTCACAGGCTCTTTCTCGGAACCCAAATCAGGTTTCATAAAACAACTGGAGGAATGTACAATAAGCAAAGGAAAAACCACCCCCAGTTTAATTAACAAAGGACATATTGTTTAGAAAAGAAAAAACAGAGATGCCCAATGAGCGTTGAAGGATGTTAAGCTTTATTCATAATTTAAGGAGAGCCAAAGAACTACAATTAGTATATACTATTTTTCTCTAACAAATTAGCATGTACGTTTTTAAGCTAGCACCTAGTTTTAGAAAAGATGAGGTGTGACACGCACGTTTCCTTGATATGGGAGGATAAATTGTTGCACTCTTTCTAGAAGGTAGTTTGGAACCATATCAAGTGCATTAATATCCTTTCACCTAGGATCCAGTCTTCCTCTATTTTTCTTACTACTCAGAGAAGTGCACAAAATATACATATATATATACACATTGATATTTGTCACATTTTTTTAATGAAAAATTAGAATCAATTTTAATCTCTTAACATAACGGGAATGCTAAAGTATGGAACAGCTATATTAAGAAAGTGTGCTTTTGAAGACTATAATGATAAAGGAAACCTTTCATACTATAGTATTCAGTGAAAAAAAAAAAGCTGAATATTTAGAAATGTAAAGTATGATCTGAATTGGCATCGCATAGAGAAAAGACGGGATACACACCAGAACAATCACAGAGCTTTCCTCTGGGTGGTGGGAGTAGAGTTGATTAGGGGGTTTTCTTCCCCTTTTTTTTTTTTTTTTTTTTTTAATCTTCCAAATTCTCTGGTAGCAGACCTTGATGTGGAAAACAGTTACAAAGAAAGATAACGTTAGAATAGCACCACCTCATCATTTGTTCTCGGT